AAAGGTCCCGATCGAAAGCATATTTTTTTGACTACTAAAAATGCTTGAATATATATATATACATAGAAGGTACCATACTGCATAACATTACTACAAAAGGAACCCCAATTACCAACAAAAAAATTCGTTGGTAAATTGATCAAATTGGTTGGCAAATTGAGCTACCAACCAAATGCCAACTTATATTAATCCGTTGCTAAAAGGCTCGTCGGTAAATATTATCAACCGATTTTAATTTGTTGTTAAACTTACCAACCAAAAATCAGTTGGTAAACACCCAAAGATGTTGTTACAAAATTTTGAAACATGACCCTGGAATTTTCGTTGGTAAATTCACCAACTAATTTTTGGTTAGTATATCGTTAGTACCTTTACTAACGAATTGAAAAGGAGTTACTAAATTTTTTTCTTCATTATTCGATTCCGTTGGTAATTATAGTAACAAATGTCTGGTAGTAAACTTTTCTAGATACATTGGTAATTGGTTGGCAATTTTAGTAACAGAAAATTTATGTTGGTAATTTATCAATAAATTTTAATTTTATTTTTTTTGGTTTTTCATTCGGTGTCCGGTACCCACATTGGAGCCTGACTAAATCCGAATTCGCGCATTGCATTTAAAAATCTAAGAGCACGAATATAAATTCAAAAATATTAATATCAATTTTATAAATCATATTTGAATGAAACAATGCAAACTCTATGATAACAAGTTAAATTAATCTCAATATGACACATATCATTATATCATGATGTGTTTCTAAACGTATGTAGTGTACAAGTTGACAATGTATCCAACTGACAAAACCAGCTTGAAGAATCTTATCTACTTGTTGCTGCATTTTGTGTCTCATTTTTTTCTCAAATGTCATGCTTCCTCTCTTGTAAATGGGCATACAATACATTTTTCGTCTGAACATCCAAATCACGATCTTGAAGATGAAGCGAATAATGCACCAACATTTCCTTAGAAAGTTGTCAAAGAAAGAAGGTCGTAAGTTTGTGAAAAAAATTTGTTGGAGGATCACTGAATTACTTTGCAGGTTGACATGTTGATATGATCTTAGACTTTACAGTATTGCTCTAAGAAATCATCAAGAAAATAGTCAAAGGCAACACATGTGATATATAATACTTAGCATGAGCTAGCCACGGAAATTCATGACTTTTCTCAAGGAAATTTAATGTTAAAACATACTCCTACCTAAGACACTACAACCCTTATATATAAAGACCGAGCAAAGAGCTACTAGATACCATATAATAGCTACTTTACAAGCATTTTGTTCTGATAGTCCATGATGATAAATTACTTTAAACTCTTGAGGTGTCCTTTTGATATCACAATTTGTATCCAAACTAATGATTAAGCTGTAAACTTTTGTAATATTCACTACCATCGAACTGTAGGAATACAAGTAATACTTACTCGAGTCTTTCTTGTCGTCGTTCTAAGAAGATCACATTCATCATAGTTCTATAAAGTTTCATCTTTGAACCTCTAACTGCACTGATGAAATGTTAATCTGAGTACGTTTACCAAAAATATTGACCAAATCTAAATTTTGGCCAAAACTTAAAAGTTAAAACGCCTAACAACACAAACTGAAAATGGAAGCCTCAAAACCTAAACCAATCATCCTATTAGTCAAAAAATGACCTTCCGAAACTAACCGCGCTGACAGAATTCTCATATGAGCAAGTTTGCAAAAAATGCTAGGCAATTCCAAATTTTGGTCAAAAATTAAAAGTTAAAACGCCTAATGGCACAAACTGAAAATGAAAACTTTTAAATCCGAACAAACCATCCAATTAGACAAAAAATAACCTTCAAGAGCTAACCGCACTGATGAAATTCCAATTTGAGCATGTTTCCCAAAAATATTGATCAAATTCAATTTTTTGCCAAAAGTTAAAAGTTAAAATGCCTAACGACACAAACTAAAATAAAAGCCTCAAAACCCAAACCAACCATCCTAATAGATCAAAAATTACCTTCCAAAGCTAACCACGCTGATGAAATTTTAATTTGAGCACGTTTACCAAAATATTGACCAAATCTAAATTTTGGCCGAAAGTTAAAAGTTAAAACGCCTAACAACACAAATTGAAAATGGAAGCCTCAAACCCTGAATCAACTATCCTATTAGATATAAAAATCACTTTCCGAAGCTAATCGCACTGACGAAATTCTCATTAGAGCACGTTTACAAAAAATGTTAAGCAAAGTCAAATTTTGGCCAAAAGTTAAAATTTAAAACGCCTAACGGTACAAACTGAATATGAAAACCTCAAAATCCAAACCAACCATCCTATTAGACGAAAAATGACTTTTCAGAGCTAACCACGCTGCCGAAATTCAAATTTGAACATGTTTCCCAAAAAAAATGACCTAATTCAAATTTTAGCCAAAATTTAAAAGTTAAAATGCTTAACGACACAAACTGAAAATAAAAGTCTCAAAAACCCAAACCAACCATCCTATGAGACCAAAACAGAACTTATATGGCTAATCGCGGTGACAAAATTTTAATTCGAGCACGATTACCAAAAATATTGACTAAAGTGAAATTTTGGACAAAACTTAAAAGTTAAAATGCCTAACGGCACAAACTAAAAATGGAAGCCTCAAAACC